TTTCCAACGGCCTACCTCCTCAAATTCTCCCATCTCAGCTCCTCCCCCTCTCCCCCTCTCACCCTCTCAGCAACCTTCTCTTTGCTTCACCCTCTCACCAACTCAGACAATGGCACCAGATGACAACACAGTTCCTCTCCCTCTCACCCTCTCACCCTCTCAGCCCATCAATACAAAAATATTAGTAACTTAAAATGTACACATTTACTTTTATTTTCCTGTAACATTTATTTATTACCAACATCACAAGTATTAGAAGGTAATGAGTTCAATAAGAACATTTTCAAGATCATTAAAACTCTGCATAGACACAAATACATGATGTGGAAAGCAAAACGGAAAAAAAAAACAGAAAAAAATAGAAAAGAGAGAGAGAGAGAGAGATGAGGGAACATTAAGGGCATGCATACCTGTGTCTCTATAATTCCCTGGACCACGCACTCCATGGCCCTCAGTTTTGGCTCATCCCTACCAATTTAGTATACTTGGTCAAAAAATAATCCAAGTAGGAATAAAAACAAAAATAAATAAACCATCTCAGATAATAATAAACAAAGAAAGGCATTGCAAAAAATAGAATTATGAGTGGGGTCAGAAAACAATCATTCAAAAGTCTAACTACATAAAGTGAGAGGTCTGGATAGATGAAATCCAAGTGAAAAAAAGCTTAACTAAAAGGGAATTTCCAATTTACAGAAAATCCAATCCTCAAACCAAACATTGATTAACTGAGTAAATTTGACAGAGACTGCCTGAGCCTATACAACCCAATTCAAAGTTGAAAGTATCCCATAAACTACCAATAGTATCTAGTTAAAAGACAATCTGAAAACCAATTCCTCTAATCAAGTATTAATTATTCCAGTGAGGCACTTTGTCAAAAAGGTGGAGTAGCCCAGATGCCTGGCCTGGGTATGAATTAAGATTATCAGACCCGGGATGGGAGCCAGGTGGGCCCAGGCAGCTCTAAAGACTGTTAACAAATTGTTAAAACCCAGCCTGGGCCAGCCCATGATCATTCCTAGTAGAGATAGATAGGAGTTTTAGAGAGAGAGGGAAAGAGAAGTCAGCAAGTTCGGCAACTTGACTATATCCAAAGTCTCTTGGCCCTCTTCTAAGCCCCAAATCTCAAAGGCATACACCTTTAACTTCGACCTATATTTATTCAGGGAAAATTACTGATTCAGGCACCTCAAAATCATCTTCTACAATAATGGAATGTGGACTAATATCTTGAAAAAGATTTCCCCCAATGGAAACCAAGGTTTTAAAAGGATAAAGGTGGAGGTGAGGCACTTGGAACATGGAGCTGTAGGCCTCAAAAGTAATATTTTTTTTATATTCCATAAGCAATGAAGAAATGGAGCAAAATGTAATTCTGTATAACCTATTTGGTACACTAATGGTCCAACCACCAAAAGTTGTAGCTTCAAGTTCCACCAGGATTATTTCTCTAAAATTTTACTATATTCAAAATAAGTAGCATAAACAAACATATATTGGGTCAAAGAAAAAAACTCACAACCACAATCCAAAGTTCAAAAACATTTTACAATATATTCATGAAAAAATACATCAACAATCAAAAAAAGTGTGAAACAATTACAATTCCCCGTGGTAAACTTAGATGATTGAACCTTCAAAATTATAGAGTTCTTTGTCCTTTTGATAACAACAAATCAGATCACTTAACTTGTAGAGATAACATAGGATAGGAAATTCAAACAAAATAAATTTTTTTACTTGTTAAACTTGTGGCTTCAGATTGCAAGGGGAGTCACCTTTCCATCAAGATGCTCTACCGCAATTTGCATTTTTTAAAAAGGATGTTCACTGAGATTTCTGGTGTTGAATGGGATTGGGGGCAATATTAAGTGGTGTACAAGGTCTTTTGCTGCTTTGTTTCCTTTTATGTCACATAAACACAACCCAGTAAATACCCTAAAAGGATGAATTTGTGCCATGGTGGAATTTTTAGCGACAAGTTCAAGGCTTCAAATGCAGGAAACATTCCTGTCCATTCAATTTCCAAAGAACATTTAGGTGCATCCTATTATATTATTAGAAAAATTATTTGAAATCTTGAATACAGATCCAAACTGTAGCTGGCCTTGTTTGTAAAGTCTGAAGGCCCTAATACTACAATGGACAATTGCTCTAATTTAGTTGGAAAACACAATCATCAAATTGACTTGGATTATGGAGGTTCTACATATATATACTAAGGTGTTTGGCAAGTCTTTTTAGGAAGATCTTCCAAAAGCTCAAGATCTCAAAAGACTGACGATCTTTCACAGGTAGATCTTCAAAGACCAAAGTCTGTTTGGTTGCAATTTTTTTAAAGATCTTTCAAAAGCTAGAAAGATCGAAAGACCGTTTGGCAAACATACTTATCAGTTCCTCTTACATGCATGTTAAATGTTTATGCGTGGGACCTAGTCACTAGTGACACATTCAAACATGCAAATATTACTTGTGGTTCCCACTTACACATTTACTTAGATAAAATATTAAAATGGGTCCCATTCATGCATTTCCCTATACAAAATAACATATTTACACATTGACATATGCGGTTATCATCTACGAGCTCCATTTATGCATTAACTTATATAAAACAAAATCAATGTTCATAAAAGATCATACGGAAGAAAACTATTTAAAAAAGTTTTAGAAATAACTAATAACTAGTTAACGACTAGAATAAGAAAAGCAATAACTAGTTAATAACTAGAAGTTAAGGGTCAACAAAAGGAAATCAATAAAATAAAATTTTAAAGGGGAAGCAACCTTTAATGAGGAGCATGAATTTTCAGTCCTGCAATGATCAAAGATTAGCAATAGCATTTTGTTCATTTTGAGGTCCCTTGCCTTTTATTTTGACTTGTGTATCTTTTACGTTTTTACTATTGTGTACTAACTAGCAAAAACATTACAACTCTTGCATTGCATTTTGTAATGCAATATTTTAAATTTGATATATGTATCAAATGAAAAAGGAACCAATGAGAAAATAACTTAAAGTAGCAAATAGCTTTTTCACCATATATTTTTTCACAATATCCAGAATTCCCAGGTTCATAAGCTCCTTGAACCACAAGCTAAATAATGGTGAGAGTTCTTGTCTACACACATAATATGCATACAACAATGTAACAACATAGGACGAAAGGTTCAGTATATGTTCTCTGAAAACAGTATTACTGTCCCATGATGAAGGCCTCTATCTTTCTTGTAAAACAATTATTTAACACAAGTCTGGAATTTATCAAAAAGACAAATACACATCTTGTCTTACCGTAGAAGCCCAACACATATCAGCAGTTCTGTGCCTGTATTTGTCCCTTTCATGTGTAGACAACAATCTAGAACCATGGACCATTTCTGGTGCAAGGGTAAAACCTAAGGGTTACAAACCTTAGAAGTTTAGAACATAGGTTCAGGTCTGAGAGTGGCCATTCTGCAAAAAATACCAGTCTTAAATTTCACTCCTCACAACACCTTCAGTGGAAGTTCAATATTTTGGGCAATTATTTAATTAAGAAAAGTGGCATTGACTTTTTTTGTAGGAAATGAATACAATCTAATCTAAAAAAAAGATTTTTTTTTATAAATAAGAATAAATCTATTTAAAAAGAGAGGAGGGGGAAGAGACCCCAATACAAGAGGAAAGTAGGTATCTTTCAATCTAGTCTGAAATCAATACTAAATATAAACTTAGATATCCTTGAAAAGTAACTAGAAAATAGTAATAAAGATGTACAAAATCTCAACTGTAACATTTATTTTGATTGGCAA